TTGAGCCATTTATCCTGTGAGTTTTTTCACATTCTGAATTTTGCTGACATCTACTTTATTAAACTTCTAATTATTTATTTACTTATTTTGGTAGTACTAGGTGCTTTACCACAGAGCTATATTCCCAATGTTTTTATTATGATGATTATTATTATTTTGAAATAGGGTCTTGCTAAGTTGCCTAGGCTGGACTTGAACTTGTGATCCTCCTGCCTTGGTCTCCCAAGTTGCTGGGATTATGGGCATATGCCATTGTGATGGAGTAAATTTTTATTTATTTATTTTTTTATCTAGCCTGAACATATTTTTGTTATAAAGAATCATACAGTACTGAGAAAGTAAGGTCACCTTCCCCCTCTCTGATCTTGCCTCTGCACAGTTGTTGTTTGTTTGTTTTTTATTGTTGAGATGTCTTATGAGTCTTTTTATACTCGTATCTACTGATCAAAACTTTGTGAATTTATTTGTCCCATAATTGAGCACATCATTCCCAACCTGCTTTTTGTTTTCTCAACCATTTATCCCTCCATTAATCATTCCACCCGAAATGTATCAGCTGCCTACTATGTGCTAGGCCCTGGGTGACAGCAGTGACCTATATAAAAATCCCTGCCTTCCAGGGAGTTGATGTGTATTGGGGATGATAAACAAAAAGCGGCATCCATAAGGCAAACACATAACATGCCAGATGGCAGTCAGAGCCAGGTGGCCACATGCAGCCGGCAGGGTGGTGGAGGCTTCTGGGTTCTTAGGCACAAGCTGAACCTCATTAAAAATGGAGGGCTCCGACTTTGAAGCAGTTTGCCCCGCCTTGGAGCCACATCACTTATTAAACAGTCCCTGTTCTGTGTATTGTCCTTACACGCGCACCCACGCTCTTTGGTGCAGGGGAGCAAGTGTCTCTTGGGATTGGTGCCCAGAAGGAAAGGTCTGGGCTGCAGCTAGCTCATCCTCCAAACAGTCCCAGGAAGAGGGACCTGGGAGACCTGGAGGCTCCCAGAAAGACAGGGACTCTGTGGAGGTGACACAGCCAGGGGGCGGGGGAGTTGAGAGCCCTAAGCCCATCTCTGCTAACCTGGATTGGGACGCTGCCCTGCCATGTCCAGCTGGGTGGGTGGCTTTGGGGAGCCACTTCCTTTCTGGAAGCCTCATTTTCCCCATGTGTCAACTGGGAACGCTAATAGGTTGCTCTGGAGAGGAAACAAGATAATCACTGTGATCTCTTGGCACAGTGCCCAACACATGGTGGGAGCTTCCGTCCTGTATGGTGATCCTTAGAGTTACTGTGTGGGTTTGGTAAGATGATGCAGAGGAGATTCCAGGCCTTAATGGGTGTGTGTTTGTTTTGTACGGGGGATTGAACTCAGGAACGCTAAACCACTGAGCCACATCTCCAGCCCCTTTTATTTTTTACTTTGAGACAGGGTCTCACTAAGTTGCTTCCTGAGCCACTAGGATTACAGACATGCACCACCATGCTGGCTTGAGTGGAGGTTCCTTACACCTAGTCTTTCCTTCCTTTGCAGCAGGTCATCCCCCACCTTGTCCCCTCTTGTCCCCTCTCCCTTGTCTCTAACCAGTGCATCTCCTGTTTGCTCTTCAGGCCTTCTTCCTCTTTCCTGACTTGAGTTTTCTAAGCCCCCAATGGTCCAAGTGCAGTTGGTGGATCAACAGTATCAGTGTCCTGGGAGTTCGTGGGTTATGCAGAACTTCACCTCCACCCAGACCCCTATTCTGGAATGGCCCAGAGTCTGTATTTAAGAAAAAAAAAATGCTGGGGTTCTGCTTTCATGAAGAAGCTCTGTGTTACCTAGAAGCTGTGTGTGCCATCCAGTGGATTATTTTGTCTCTATGCCACAATTTGTTCATCTGTAAAACAGGGCTCCTAGGAGCCCCATCACAACTGCAGAGGTAGAGTCGGTGCAGAAATGCGCACCTGTGATCCCAGCTACTCGGGAGGCTGAGACAGGAGAATAGCAAGTTGGAGGCCAGCCTGGGTACTTTAGTGAGACCCTATTGCAAAAAAATTTAAAAAGGACTGATTGGGCT